TAACAATGATCCAACACTGTACAGCATGTACCCTTCACAACACCTCTTCCTACCCCCCGGTGTGTCAGATCGATCAGCCGCCAGTTTCACACTTGGCTGATCAGCGTTCACTTGACGCTCTCAGTAAGTCAGTGAGTGCTGGGTAGATCAGCGACACATCGATCACACGAGGGCACGTCGCGGGGTTCGGGAGACAGAGGATAGTATGCGTGACAATATTTAGACACCGTCTTCGACTGTGATACTGAATACTGTGTTGGATACTCTGCAGTCGGACCCTTCACCTGGATACAAGCAATAAGAAAAGTAAGTTTCTTGGACTCACCTTGGGACAGACTAGTTGATATACTGGGTGTTCAAGGGTTGCTGGGAATTTTTTTTGTTTCAGCTGCAAAACCGTATATTTTGTTAATTAACACTAATTAAAAATTAAAGCCAAATTAAAAATTAAAAGCTATCTTACTACAATGAATTTACAATTTCTTAAGTATTCCTATTTTTTTCAAGAACCAATACAGATTATATATCAGATGGTCTATCCCTTACTAACGAGTTTCACGAGTCTCACTGTATTATCTAAGATAAATATAATCACAAACAACGCAATTCCCAAGAATCGTCATGTGTTATGTTTTCAATGATGGTGTCATCTCGAATTTAAGTAAAATCTGATGTCCTGATTTTCATCTCAAAGATCTAGTAATCTTCCTGATTTTGAAAAATAGTTATTTCCTCTCAAAATCACACCTCATATATTCATGATCAAAGCAGTTGTCTGTAGCTTATTTATAAAACATGTCTCTTTCAATCGGTCGAAATCTGTGTTTGTTTTTATGTTGAAGTTATGGTACGATATCGATCTGAACTCAAATCGCAGATCAAACGTTCTTTATCGGGTTTTGAGACAAACCTTACGACCTATCAGGGATCACGGACTTTCTGGCATAATCTGGGACGAGTACTAGCACTGTTTTCCTCTATACTTTGTACACAATATACGCATAACCTCACAGTGTTCACGATATCCTTACATCTTTATGTTGTAAACAATATCCCCATATACTTATAGTTCACATAATATCAATATACCCTTATAGTGTACACATTATCCTTATACCCTTATAGTGTACACATTATCCTTACAGTGTAAACAATATCCATTTATCCTTACAATGTACATTATAGAGTGTCTATATACCCTATAATGTACACAATATCCTGTATTCTCATAGTGCACTCAATATCCATACATCTTATAATGGAAACAATATCCATATATCCTTACAGTGTACTCAGTATCCATATATCCTTACAATGTACTCAATATCCCTATATCCTTATAGTGTACTCAGTATCCATATATCCTTATAATGGAAACAATATCCATATGTCCTTATAATGTACTCAATATCCATATATCCTTACAATGTACTCAATATCCATATATCCTTACAATGTACTCAATATCCATATATCCTTATAATGTACTCAATATCCATATATCCTTATAGTGTACTCAATATCCATATATCCTTATAGTGTACTCAATATCCATATATCCTTATAATGTACTCAATATCCATATATCCTTATAGTGTACTCAATATCCATATATCCTTATAGTGTACTCAATATCCATATATCCTTATAATGGAAACAATATCCATATATCCTTATAGTGTACTCAATATCCATATATCCTTATAGTGTACTCAATATCCATATATCCTTATAGTGTACTCAATATCCATATATCCTTATAATGGAAACAATATCCATATATCCTTATAATGTAAAGAATATCCATATATCCTTATAATGGAAACAATATCCATATATCCTTATAATGTACTCAATATCCATATATCCTTACAGTGTACTCAATATCCATATATCCTTATAATGTACTCAATATCCATATATCCTTATAGTGTACTCAATATCCATATATCCTTATAGTGTACTCAATATCCATATATCCTTATAATGTACTCAATATCCATATATCCTTATAATGTACTCAATATCCATATATCCTTATAGTGTACTCAATATCCATATATCCTTATAGTGTACTCAATATCCATATATCCTTATAGTGTACTCAATATCCATATATCCTTATAATGAACTCAATATCCATATATCCTTATAATGTACTCAATATCCATATATCCTTATAATGTACTCAATATCCATATATATCCATATATCCTTATAATGTAACTCAATATCCATATATCCTTACAATGTACTCAATATCCATATATCCTTATAGTGTACTCAATATCCATATATCCTTATAGTGGAAACAATATCCATATATCCTTATAGTGTACTCAATATCCATATATCCTTATAATGGAAACAATATCCATATATCCTTATAATGTACTCAATATCCATATATCATTACAATGTACTCAATATCCATATATCCTTATAGTGTACTCAATATCCATATATCCTTACAATGTACTCAATATCCATATATCCTTATAATGTACGCAATATCCATATATCCTTATAGTGTACTCAATATCCATACATCCTTATAATGGAAACAATATCCATATATCCTTATAATGGACACAATATCCATATATCCTTACATTCTACTCTATATCCATATATCCTTATAATGTTCTCAATATCCATATATCCTTATAATGGAAACAATATCCACATATCCATATGTCCGATATAATGCTACGCATATCCATATATATCCTTATAGTGTACTCAATATCCATATATCCTTATAATGTACTCAATATCCATATATCCTTATAATGTACTCAATATCCATATATCCTTATAATGTACTCCAATATCCATGTATATCCTTATAATGTACTCAATATCCATATATCCAATATATATATGTACTCAATATCCATATATCCTTATAATGTACTCAATATCCATATATCCTTATAATGTACTCAATATCCATATATCCTTATAATGGACCTCAATATCCATATATCCTTATAATGTACTCAATATCCATATATCCTTATAATGTAAACAATATCCATATATCCTTATAATGTACTCAATATCCATATATCCTTATAATGTACTCAATATCCATATATCCTTATAATGTACTCAATATCCATATATCCTTATAATGTACTCAATATCCATATATCCTTATAATGTAAACAATATCCATATATCCTTATAGTGTACTCAATATCCATATATCCTTATAGTGTACTCAATATCCATATATCCTTATAATGTACTCAATATCCATATATCCTTATAATGTACTCAATATCCATATATCCTTATAATGTACTCAATATCCATATATCCTTATAATGTACTCAATATCCATATATCCTTATAATGGAAACAATATCCATATATCCTTATAATGTACTCAATATCCATATATCCTTATAATGTACTCAATATCCATATATCCTTATAATGTACTCAATATCCATATATCCTTATAGTGTACTCAATATCCATATATCCTTATAATGTACTCAATATCCATATATCCTTATAATGTACTCAATATCCATATATCCTTATAATGTACTCAATACCCATATATCCTTATAATGGAAACAATATCCATATATCCTTATAGTGTACTCAATATCCATATCCATATATGTACTCAATATAATGTATAATGGAAACAATATCCATATATCCTTATAGTGTACTCAATATCCATATATCCTCAATATGTACTCAATATCCATATATCCTTATAATGGAAACAATATCCATATATCCTTATATATCCATATCCTATATCCTTATAATGTACTCAATATCCATATATCCTTATAATGGAAATAATGTCCATATATCCTTATAATGTACTCAATATCCATATATCCTTATAATGTACTCAATATCCATATATCCTAGTGTATAATATCCATATATCATAATATCCATATATCCATATGTCCTTATATGTACTCAATATCCATATATCCTTATAATGTACTCAATATCCATATATCCTTATAATGTACTCACCTTATAATGTACTCAATATCCATATATCCTTATAATGTACTCAATATCCATATATCCTTATAATGTACTCAATATCCATATATCCTTATAATGTACTCAATATCCATATATCCTTATAATGTACTCAATATCCATATATCCTTATAATGGAAACAATATCCATATATCCTTATAGTGTACTCAATATCCATATGTCCTTATAGTGTACTCAATATCCATATGTCCTTATAGTGTACTCATTATCCATATGTCCTTATAGTGTACTCATTATCCATATACTGTATCCTTACAGTGTACACAATATCCATATATCCTTATAGAGTACACAATATCCATATACCCTTACAGTGTACAATATAGGGTGTCCATATACCCTATAATGTACACAATATCCATATACTATTATAGTGTACACAATATCCATATACTATTATAGTGTACACAATATCCATATATCCTTATAGTGCACACAATATCCATACACCCTTATACTGTTCACAAGGCCGTTGGAGGCCTCATAGTGTACTCAAGTCCCATACAATTCCTCCAATCATGTGCACCATGTGGTACCATTCTGCTGCTGTAAGGTTGTCTAAATAAGGAAGAATTGGTATCTGACACGAAATGTCATAAACCGTCTCTGGTAAAGTTCAAGAACACACGCTTCTTTCATTTACGTAGTTACTGTTATGGCATATAGAAATATGAAATATCGTATATCTCAAATACATCCCACATAATTGCTATATGTGTAATACACCAGATAGTGTAGCAACCAAACAGTGTCACATTCAAGTCTGTATGTATGTTGCTAGTGTCGCCCTGCCCCTACCGTGCTGGAGGTGAATTAGACTGTTAGCTTACCATTATACCAGCCGTCTGGTACAGATCTACACAGAAACACTATGTCAACACAAGATACCAGCCCTCCGCACCCATTACAACATACACCTGCCCTAATTCCACGTCATTGTCGCCAGCACGCGCTTCACACTACACGTGTTTAATTAGACACTTCTGATGTTTAAAGAATCGTTACGATTGCTTATCCGAGTGGACATCTCGGGCGCCATTACAGCCTAAATGGCGCTCACACACGACAGGCAGGGAGACGAGTTGCGGGTAAACACACGTTCTGTTAAAAGTGGTCGCATGTACCCTTGTTACTAGGTAATTACATCTCAGTAACACAGCAAAGGGACAAGGTAGGTTGTAATTCGATTCCTTTTATCTTTCACTGAAAACGTTTTTTTTTTTGCAAACTTACTTACGAATACATCGTAATGTTGTTCTTACGTAATATGTATATTTTGTAATATATATGTGTTCTCTTGGCCCCTCTATATTGCACAGGTTTTCGTTTCAGAAAGCGATCTTAGCGTAAAACTTGTGATAAATCCCGATATTCGAAGTGTTAAGATTGGTTTGTTGAACAGACCACTGGGCCAGAATTTGCTTGACCACAGGATACATTAGAACAGTGTTAGGTTTAGTGTCGTTATCTGTGATGTGAAACGTCTGTATTTTCCCTCACTTTTGTCAGTTGTTCGGTATCTAAGGAAGAATTCCCTAAGGACTAGAGACTGGCGGACTCAAGTTTTGATTATAACACCGATGCCTGCCGAAATTTTGGGTTTTCTTATATATCTTAATTTTTATAATAAAGTGTACGTCTAAACATGTGCAGGAGCTACTGTACACGTGTATATATATAATCAGTAAGGGCTGCTGTTGTCGACTAGTAAGACCCACAGAGGATAGTAACATATATTACAGATTGTTAGAAGAATACACATTAATGAGTTGTCAGGTCAACTGTTCACGTGTCAACCATGTATATTTGGTCACGGTTACTATTAATGACTAGTAAAGGATAGTAACATCTATTACAGATTGTTAGAAGAATACACATTAATGAGTTGTCAGGTCAACTGTATAACCATGTATATTTGTCACGGTTTCTATTAATGACTAGTAAAGGACATCTATTACAGATTGTTAGATGTTGTTAATGAATAGGCTTATATACGTGTCAACCGTCTATATTACAAATCAATAGTATACTATTAATAAATAGCTAAATATACTGCATTCATGTCAGCTGTGTATTCTTACTGAAGGTTGCTCTTGATATATTATAGCACCGCCGATAACACACGAGTTTACTTTATATTATCAAGAAAACATGTGGAATGGCAATGTCTACCGTAGATAATGGTGAGGGTTGCTGGAGATGAATAGAATGGTCAAATGATGGTGATTAGTAAGATGTAAATAGTACGGTATTCCGTAGAATAATGACGAGGGTAACTAGGATAATCTTTTCTTGATAACTAGTGGGAATAATGAGGCCTTCAGTCGATCGATCGAAAATGGTTCTTTCTATGGTTAGATAGAGGGGAATAAGGGTCTTCTGTGGAAGGATTGTTGGGAGATAAAGGTCTTCCGTTGATCGATAGACAGGAAGATTTGTCTTTTATAGATCGATTGTAAGATGGGCCCCTTCATAGATCGATAGACAGGCCTTTTGTAGATCGATTGTAAGAGAGACACCTTCATATATCGAGAGACAGGAGGCCTTCTTTAGATCGAATGTAAGAGGAGTCCATCATAGATCGATAGACAGGAGGCCTTCTTTAGATCGATTGTAAGAGGGGTCCATCATAGATCGATAGACAGGAGGCCTTTTCTAGATCGATTGTAAGAGGGGTCCTTCATAGATCGATAGACAGGCCTTTTGTAGATCGATTGTAAGAGGGGTCCTTCATAGATCGATAGACAGGAGGCCTTTTGTAGATCGATTGTAAGAGGGGTCCTTCATAGATCGATAGACAGGCCTTTTTTAGATCGATTGTAAGAGGGGTCCTTCATAGATCGATAGACAGGAGGCCTTCTTTAGATCGATTGTAAGAGGGGTCCTTCATAGATCGGTAGACAGGCCTTTTTTAGATCGATTGTAAGAGGGGCACCTTCATAGATCGATAGTAAAGAGAGATGTTATCTTTTTGTAGACATAAACGTAATGATACCTGGGTAGCAGACAAATAAACTATTGTATCAGGTATCTGAATCTAGCTAGAACCCCAAATGGCCGGAGTCTAATTCCCATTAAGAGGCAACTGAAACATTGATGTGGTCACAATGGTAATTAAGTATTTACAAGTGTTGGTTAGCTGACCACCAAGGAAGATACACAATCGATCATTGCTTGACTCAGAGTACACGTACACTTTGTAGGACGATCAATGTGCTGAGTAAGCGTTAAGCCCCACCCACTCATGTTCCTCGAAACCATCCTGTTCCCGATGGTCATCAACTGGATCCTCTGATGATTACATGAAGGTGTTTAAAGAGGAAGACGTTGACACTGTGAAGTAGCTGCAGTTGTAGACGGAAGTGGGCTCTCTCTTAATTTCCTGACGAAGCAGCGTTAACCAGCCTCGGGTCTGTGGCCTGGAACAACAGTTCGATACTCCTGACAATATAGCATGGCTCGTCGACTGTTGGATGCAGCACAGACAGCCCCAGAGACAGCAACACCGACGGTGTATCGACGTCGTGACCTGCTCATCTGTTGTTAGGATGTCAGCATGTACTTACTCTACTCGCAATATCGAGCTAGCCCCTCAACCGTGACCAAGGTTACCAAGGACAACGCCTACGTCGAGCAACAGCGGTTGTTACTTGTTGCACGGGTGGTTGGTGTCTGGGTGGGAGAAGCTGACGTTTCCAGGATCGTGATTGGGTCACCACCTCTTCCTCCTTATTAACGGTGCCACGAATATAGAGATGTGATAATAGTCTGTCATACAAGCAGAGAACGGTGGTCTGTTAGATGTATAATTACTATAAAACGTCAGCGCTCGAGAATAACCAGTGTCGATTTTCCGACGAAACAGATTCAAAATCACCACTTTCTCCCTATTTACAGTGCGAAGACCCGCGAACAACTGGGTACCGTTGTACAAAACACCCTTCGCACTAAGACCACCTTAGGTCTATGTTAAGGTATGGGAGTTACGGTCACCTTAGCGCTAAGATCGCTTTGTACAACGGCACCCTGGTCGTCAGCTTCCCATGCTTGTCACAAGAGGCAACTAACGGGATCGGGTGGTCAGGCTCGCTGACTTGGTTGACACATGTCATCGTATCCCAATTGCGTATATCGATGCTCATTCTGTTGATCACTGGATTAAATATTGTTACAGACCGCGGCCATAAACTAGAACATTGCCGAGTGTGGCGTTAAACAACAAACAAACAAATGCAATACAAAGAGTACAAGGAACTTATGGTCTGCTGGATAGAATAGAATTGTGCATGTATTGCTACTGTAAAACATAAAGGCCGGACAATCAACAGTAACAAGAAAGAGATTCCCGCTACCCCCATATTTACAGAGCGACTAGTATAGGGATGCTATAGTCTATCATCCAAGAAAAGAACGGTCTTCCCCAGATAATCAGTAACTGTGAAATTTTAACGAACGAGAATAACCAGTTTTGATTTTCGAACGAAACAGATTCCATTGGACGTAAAACTGAAATTAGCCGTGAAAAACACATGAACACAATTTGCATTATAAAAGTATGTGTTTCTTGACACGCAACCGCATGAACAGACCAGACAAACAAGTGAGGGCTAATCACACCATACTACATTTACTGATGTCGTTAATTTGAATGTTATCCGCTGTGTACAAGTGCAGTGATTATGCGGTTTATTATAGTAAAACGTTTAAAAATATATATTCGCTTATTAACACAGTATTTGAGGGGCGGAGGGACTAGTTTTTTTGCCTTGCCCCGAATAATATGTTTTAGTCAACAAAATTTAGTGGTGAAATGTATAAATGCTCTGATTTGAGGGCATACTGTAAAACATGGAGTGGAGTCTTGGAGTGGAGCCTTGGAGTGGAGTCTGGAGTCTGGAGTATATGTGCACTTGCCACTTCAGTAAATACTGATTACTGTTTAGAAATATACCATTAATGGCTCTTCCCAGTTGTCATTTATACCTTTTGAATCACCGGTTTAAAAAAGTACTGCAAATTCATATACATGCTGAAATACCTAATTTTTTTACAAATATATATTATATTTGTAGTTTATACAGGATATTGCCACTGTTCCTTCATTGACTGCTATGCAATAAATATGTTATCTAATTCATCTTAGATATTAGTCTTTCTTGCCTTACACATTTGGGAAATTGTCATTGTTCATATCTATACATAGAGATGCAAATCCTAAAGATAATCCAACACATTTACAGTCCAGATAGTTATGTTTTATTTCTGAAATTTGATATTTATGAGGGAAAGTTAATACAAGTATATAAATCATGAATGGGTAGATGGTTTTGTGCTATTTGTTATGTAAAACATAAAACCAAACAACAATACTGTATTCACGTTTATATTATGCTGATGGGACTCCTGATGTTATTTCAAATCTTTTCAGTTCAAAATATGTTACATGTGACATATTTATAAAACAAACTATCTAAACGATGAACGATATATCCTGCCATACTGAAATTTGTGCTGAATCCCTGGGAAGGCTGTCAAGTGTCATGGGTTGAGGACTGGTCATTCATTCTTGGAAAAGGGTTTGCCTGGAACTTTATCAAGGCATTGACATTGTAGATGTTTATCAGAACTAAACATCCTGTAGTTGGAAAACGGTAATTCCTCGAAAATAGTTCATTAATTTCTTTAAAAAAGAAATATTGACAACAAATAACAATAAAAACGTGAATACAATGTCTACAATACTTTAACTGGAAAATATATTTGCACTTTCAAGGGGTAGACATTTTATGTTGGAAAGATTCTTGGCTATGCAAGGATTCATATTGCAGTATTACTATATTTACTACCATAAGGGTGTTTACACCAGTTTATCCAATTGATAAGGCCACATCAAGAAGGAAAGGTAAATCCAATTCCATATCGTCTGAACTACTTCAATACAGTGGTCACGTGCATTCTGCTAGTCATTCATCTACCCCACCCAGCCATTTCACCTGACATTCATGGCTGGCCATATTAAGAAATGTTATGGCTGTGGACAACCATTCAATAAAAGACATAAGTCCCCACCTCACGATTTGCTTCGGAAGAGATTTGATCATCGTGTTTACACCAGCCCGAGGAGTAAAGAAAAGAAAACAACGGTTAACTTGCAAAACACATATTTCCATC